TAACTTCCTCATCAATACCGTCTATTGGTCGGCTGGATATCTTGGGAGCTCAGTATACTCCAGACATCAGTACATTTACAGTTAACAATGGAAGAAATAGTGCAGATCTCAAACTCAATAGTTATAGTATTGTGCTTACTCTGAATGATCCAGTCATGGTAAATGCGTCAACCATTACAATTGCTTGGCAGCATCAAAAGTAAGAGCTTTACTTTTTCTTTTCTTTGCAACATTTTAACAGCGAATGCATACAAAATACTACTCGCGTGTTTCCAAATTCCCACTTGTTTCCGAGGGCAAAAAATTGATCCAGAACATAAGTTTAGACTCAGTAGCATACTTGCAGTATGCAAACTAAAGTTATTTATTTTAAAGTCTAGAAACCAAAGCATTAAAATTCTGTGGGAGGCAGGCATTTCTGAATTTAGAAACGTAAGTTACTGTTATGCTTGGACGATTTGCTGGACGTGAAGAGAGTATTGTTTTTTCAGTTCGTCTGCTACAACTACGTCTCCAGCAACATCTCTGGCGTATACAACGTCATTGAAAAATAGAACGTCTTCGTCTACAACAACATCTACAACCGATATAATAGGCCCGTTCACTGTATCGTCGTCGACAAATATATCGTCTCCTTTCACTTCAGCATTTCCGTTCACCACAGTATCGTCGATAACTGCGACATCTCCATCTGCCACAACCTTTTCAATTACCATAAAATCTTCCACCACTGCAGTGGCTCCGAACACTACATCATCTTTGAATAACACCAATTCATCGACAAATGCGACGTCTCCGTCTACAATAACTATAACGAGCCTATCGCCTGTATCGCCATCAAAAAATATTTCGTCTTCTTTCACTTCAAGTTTTCCGTTCACCACAGTATCGCCGACCACTGCGACATCTCCATCTGCCACAACCTTTTCAATTACCATAAAATCTTCCACCACTGCAGTGGCTCCGAACACTACATCATCTTTGAATAACACCAATTCATCGACAAATGCGACGTCTCCGTCTACAATAACTATAACGAGACCAACGAATATGTCGTCTCCTTTCATTTCAACATTTCCGTTTACGGGAACGCTTCCAAGCTCTGCAACATCCTCATCTAACACAGTCTCTTCGCTTAACGTAAAGTCTACGAGCACAGCAAAGTCTTGGTCCACTATAGACTGTGTGACGGGTGCGGATGAGGGAAGCGAAGCAACAACAGAATGGAGAGAAGATAACATAACAACATCAACGACTACCACAACTAGAAGCTCTATATCATCCGCCGCGGCTTCTTTTACTTCAGATTTACATTTTAGTTTCGCCAAAGGCGTCATTGGCACAGCAATCTGGCTTCTTTTGCTTCCTGTCTGTCTGAGCAACTGACAAACGTAAGGCTTTTTGTTGAATTGTTTACAAGAAGATATGTGCTTCTGAAAGGCCAGCATCACTTTTTTTCTACAACACTGTCTATTTTAAGTGCCTGGTCTACTTTTTTTGAGGTTTTACTTCAAGTGAAACGACGTTTGCTTTTTGTTACGACTCATGGCTAGGCAGTTAGTGCTCTTCTCCACTTCTCTCCACTTATGTAAATTGTAAATGACACTTGTTTCTTACTCACTTTACTGCCATTCGCTAGTCGTAGACACTGTTTGTAGAAGGTTAATGATTTTAATAAAGAGTGTCGCTTGAATTTCCAAAATGTTAACATAACTAATGAATAAGTTGCTTACCAGCAGTTTTGAAGATAGCAACTGCAAATAAAAATTTGGAACAGAATTAGGAGGGGAGCCAAAGATTATCAGTAAGCTTGGTGACTCCTTAGCTTAATTATTAATACCGTTAATCAGGTGCTTTTTGGACGACAAATTGGAGCAGAGCTTCTGAAATAGATATGTGCCAAAAACTGGAATGACGCTTTTGAAATCTTTGTAATTTTATTGTTCACAGTCATTGCTGTTGGTCGTAGAACACCACTATTCTAGTACGAACGCAAGACAATGGATGAAAAATGATACAAAAGAGTCAAGGAATTCTGCCACAAAAGAAAACACCAAAAGAGGTGGTTGAGAGAATTCGTATTAGAGATTTCAGTTAAAGTACAGCGAAGAACCGGAATTACAAAGCCAGTGTTATGCAGCATATTTCACATTAACCAATCACTAGAAAAAACAGGAGCAACTAAAATTGCAAAAGATTTCAAATTTTCTGTAGAGGTATAAAATAAGAGCCAAATTTAAAAACTGCTGTCTGATGTTTCGCTGATCAGAAACTCTAAGACTTTCTCCTACACACGCAATTTGTGTCAAAATGTTGTGAACCTTTTTTGTTTAGAGCAGTTAAAACTAACTACTTCTCATTTGTTTTTCTTCCGGAAGACCGGATCGATGCACTCAAAAACTTGTTTTTAAACAATGGTAACTATATTTCCCGAAGCTTTGACTAGATCTCAAAATTATGCTTAGACCTGAAATGATTTTTGAAAGCTTAGCATTTGCTACTGACAATAGGTACAGCAAGATGCATAGTTTAATTCTTTATCCACACTCGCTATCTACAAATGTAGTCTGTTTCGCCCAATGCCTACTTTTTTGTTTTTAAGACAGTTTTAAAAACAAATGCACACAATACACGTTTTTTTAAAACTTTTTAGATTGTAAACCGCCAGAAAACTAGAGGAAATTAAAAGTACATTTCATCTGTTAAACCAAGAAAGCCTTGCCAAAGTTCATAGACGTGTTCTTACACAGATACTTGGAAAATATTGTTCATGAATTTGCTGGAAATATTGGGAGCACAGTAAATTTCAGGTAACAATACATTTGCAGTTAACAGCGAGAAAAGCAGCAAACTTTGATCTTAGACCTTACTCATTTATATTAATTTTGAATGATTTAATTGCTGTGAACAAATCTCTATCAGATATTATTTTTTGCAATAATTGGAAGTTACTGTTTCTAATTTTTTTCACTATTCTAACTTCTTGAAGTAATGAAAAGTGTACAGTGTCAAAACCTTTACCAATACACTTCCAAAAAAAAAAAAAGAAACAGTTTCAATAAATTTCAAAAAAAGATTTAGCCGAAGACATGTTTTAGCTAAATAATGATCACTTGGATTTAAAAAACCTAACTTCAATGTAAAAGCTTATGAAATAGAACGGAGTGCTACAGAAAAAAGTAGAAGAACTTTCCATATTTGAATAAGAAGAAAGACTTGCAATTACAAAAATCTTTTCATGTCAGCTGTCTATAGACAATTGTTTTTTAATGATATGCGTGCTATTAAAAAGATCAATAGCCGATTGAAAATGATTGTGGGTTATTTTTGAATGAATGTATCGAGACGACCGTATTGCTTTGTGTTTAAATAATGCAAATCATATTGCTTTTTCAAATTTACTTAGGAAGATTTAATTAGTGCAGCAAAAATAATTTTAAAACTTCATTTTTGAGACTGCGAAATTTTCATACTTCATTGTAAACGTATTTTAAAGTCTTCTGCAAAGCACCAATTTTTGGTCTTTATCAATTGGGCCAAAGCTTTACGGAAAGTTTTATTGTGCACTGCTTAGATTCTGTTCAAGGTGGCACTATTGATAACTCATTAGTGGCTTACGCTTACAGCTGTTCCACTGTCGTGAGATATCTGCAGTGTTTTTTATTGCAGCGTGCGGTAGGACAGATTTAGTTCCATACTCAGTCCTCCAAAATAAAATCAGTTTCAAAAGTTTACAATCAGAAATTATCAAATAATGGCAAGTAGAATAGGTCATAAGAGTGAAAGAAACCGCATTTTAGATAAACTCACAGGTACTTTTTTTATTAATAGACATGTGGCTGCAAAATGACGCTTCTTTAGCTAATCGGCAAAAAAAAAAAAATTTCTTCATTAAATAGGAAAATTTTCACTTAAAACTGAACTTGAAGCAAAACTTGTAAATTTAAAAATAAATTTTTTTGATATTTCTATGAAAAAAGGAAAAGGCATTTCCAAGAAAATTTCAGAAGGTAAATCCCAAAGCATTGGTTATGTAAAAGCACCGACATTTCCAGAGCATTTCAAAACAGTTTTAAATTATGTTAAATTTGTACTCATCAATTCTCTTTTTGATTTTACAGTTTACAAAAAGTGTGTAAACATATCGATCTTTAATCATTAACAAAAGTGAAATTTGTTTGTTATTTTCAATCATCAAGTGAAGTATTTTCATTAACACTTAGTGTTTTTTCTTTTATTTTTTCTTGTTAATTAATTTTAAGCAAGAACTTGCTCGGAAGTGTTGAAATGCGAAAATAAAGTACTGTTACTACTTAAGTTATGTAGATGAGAAAAGGTGTGCATTAAGAGAATAGGTTGAAAAAATTCATGATTATAAGACAAAATAAAACGTGGGCTTAGCACGTTTGGATGTGACAATGATTTCACTTTATATTGCTTTTTCACAACACCAAAGGATAAGATGTTAAAGCAATTTTTTTTTGCAGAACAGATCAACGAATGTTGATGAAAATGTGTCTACTGTTTTCTAACGGTTTTACCTTGCCGTGTTTAGATAACTAAGA